TTTCACCTCAATCATCGACTTTTCCACCAGATTATCACGTAACTTTAAGTTCGATGACTGGCGAACTTTCAACATTCTTGTATGGTCAGCCAAGCTTATGTGCTTTCAAGGATCGAAAAAGAATAGACCGGTTATTCAAAAATAAAGTATGACCTATTTCATCAGTCGTTTGATACTGAAAGGTTCCAAGCACATATTATTTCTGATTATAAGATTGTATCTTAGGAGCCGCGAGATATCATGATTTTCTAAGATCAATTTATTCGTTTGCACACAAATTAAATCAGCTCAAAGGTGAAAAATAAAAAGATGAAATAGTCCATAATCAAAGCTGGATGATGACAAAAAGAAAAATGAAAATTTGGGTGACGGCAGATTCCAGTCAGCAGTTTCAAGGTCATCAAACCGTCAAATAAGCAATCAGACACAGCTGATAACGGGTTTTTAACTCCAATTATCAAGAGTTTTATCTGAATGCCATTACGTTCTTGATACGTTCATCGTATTCACACTAGTGACTCATCAGGTCTTGTTATCCTAATCTAAACCGAGCTGAACTACAGAAAGAAGCTATGATACTGATTATCATCATACTATCTATGACGGCTGTGTTTCATCAGACTGTATTTATAATACTGTGTAGGCAACTCGAACGCTGGTGGTTTGAGTTCCATACTTTTATTTCCTCTTCAATCACCATCAAGTATTAATAATGCAAGCCTACCAAAGCACGGCTATCACAGATAATCATCATCGATAATACAAGCAAGTTATATAAACCAGCTAAAATTATATTGGTAGATCATAATTACAGATATAAATATGTAACCATATGAAAAGTCCAGTCAGCTTAGAAAAAGAGAGTTTGAGGCAGTTTGAAGTGTAGGAAACAGCTTGAATTTATTTAACAGGAATTTAATTAACTTTCATTGAAAATTCAGAAGTATAAATGAAATCAAAACCCAATGATAAAAATTGGAACTCAATTATTCGTTTTCGTTGATTACCTTATAGCGGGAAATCAGGAAAGGACTTCATTTTAGCAATTAAAAAGTAATTTGCGTAAATCTTTACACATAAAAGAATATTCCTCTTTTTTAACATAATGAGTACTACATAAAAAAGATTAATTTACTACCGAAAAGCCTGCTGATAAAGACTACGTGTATAAAATAGCGGAAAAATGCGCTAAAATTACTGGATTTCTCATCCTATCCTGTACTTTTTCAAAAGCTAACTGATCTTTCAAACGTTTTGGATACAAATTGATGCCACTTGAATGCAAATTCCACAATGGAGAGTAATACACAACAGTTCAAATATAAGAGTGGAAAATATGGCAGCGCAATCTAGAACAAATATTCAATCCTACTTAGGAAAGGCTGGATGCACATGCACCACAGTGGCTAATGTTGTTGCGATTCAGATAGCAACCCACCTCACACAAGGTCAAGAAGAAGAGCAGAGGTAGGTTTAGACCACTAACTGTCTAGTGCAAGGAACCTTCCAAATCAAGTTGAAAGCCTTCAAGAAATCTGGTGGTGATAGGCCACAGTTCAAGCTAAACAACCGAAAACTGAAAAACAAAACTATAAAGGAAATATTCACATCAGCCATCAAGACAAAATGAGAGATATCGAGGAACATCACTGGAGAAACCTGTGTGGATGAACACTGGAGCTCTCTGAAAGCGATATGAAAAGAAACCTGCATAACCGTATTAGGAAGGAAGAAGAAAGAAGATGAGGAATGGATCTCGACGGACACATGGAAGCTGAGAGAGCAGGGAGAGGAGGATGGTGAAGCAGAAGATGAATCAGTGCAAGGATGCACAACGACAAGAGGGACTGAGTACAGTGTATAAAACACTGGACAAAGAAGTGAAGAAGAGTGCGTGGAAAGACAAAAGACACTTCCACGACACACTTGCAAGTGAAGCAGAACAAGCTGCAGGTAACAGAGACCTGACAACATTGTATCAAATAACCAGGTTACTATCGAGGGAAGAGATCAACTCAGATGAAACCAATAAAAGATGATGAAGGAAATTTAATTACCAAAACAGAGAAACAAAGAAAACGATGGGCTGACCACTTCAAAAAGCTCTGGAATCGATCACCACCTACACCCACAGAACTACAAGTGAACACAAGACCTCCGACGATAGTCGAAGTCCTGAGTGCCATAAAGCTAGTGAAGTGTGGGAAAGCAGCAGGACCAGATGGAATCCCACCAGAAGCACTGAGAGCAGATGCAGAGACAACAGCGGACATGCTCACACCACAATTGCAGAATGTCTGGAAGGAAGGGAAGGTACCTGACGATTAGAAGAAGGGCTATCTTGTCAAACTCCCGAACAAGGGAGACCTCAGTGTTTGCAAGAACTGGCGTGGAATCACACTACTGTCCACCCCGAATAAAATATTAAGCCGCATCATCCTGGAGAGACTAAACTACCGAACAGGCTGGCTGGCTGGCTGGATTCACAAAGTACAAATCATGTGACGACCAAATTGTAACGCTGCACTACGCATCATCATAGAACAGAACGGAGTATAGAATGGCAGTCAACTCTACACCTCAACTTCATCGACTCTGAAAAGGCCTTTGACAGTGTCAACCGAGAAGTAATTTGGAAACTTCTTCAATACTACAGAATGCCGCAAACCCTTATCAATCTCATTCAACAACTATATGAAGACGCCACATGACAAGTAATTCACAGCACAATGGAAAGCTCGGTGATGCCTTTGAAATGAAGTGAAGACAGAGAGGAGTAAAACAAGGCTGCCACCTACTATCATCCATCACATTCCTGATAGTGGTCGACTGGATCATGCAACAAACAGTGGGGAGCTGTGTGAACAGTGGGATATGCTGGACCGAGGGAGAGAACCTAGAAGATCTGGATTTCGCCAATGACTTGTGTCTGATGTCACACAAACTTGATGATCTACAGGCGAGAACTAACAAGCTGATAGAGGAGGTAGGGCAGGGCAGGGCAGCGAAGACTGGACTTCAAGTGAATATAGAGAAGACAGAGATGATGAAGACACCGCACCTACAAATCCAACAACAACATTAAACTCCAATCACCATGAACAGTAGAAACGTAAAGGAAGTAGGCTGTTTCACCTATCTAGGCAGCACTGTTTCAACTACAGGCGGACAGGCACAGACGAGGATGTCAAATCCAGTCAGAATCGGAGAAGCAAGACAGGCGTTTATCAGCCTGAAACCAGTGTGGAGATCTTCTATACTCAGAATAATGGTGAACAAGATGCGGATTTTCAACACCATTGTCAGTCAAGTCAGTGCTTCTATGTAGTGGTTCAGAGACTTGGTGCGTTACGAAAGGGATTCCCAACAAACTACAGACATTCATCAACAACTGCCTACGCTGGCTCGCTACTGAGGATTAGATGGCCAGAGTAATGAGAATAAGCAACAGGGAACTCTGACTGGCAACGAACGAACCAACCAAGAACCTATCACTCAAGAAATATGCAGCAGAAGGAAGTGGAGATGGATTGGACTGGGCATACACTGCGAAGGCCGACTGGGGACATAACGCGTCATGTCAGGGTGTGGAGTTGAAGCCAGATGGGAAGCGACTAGTTGGACGTTTGTGGGTGACATGGAGGGGATGGTGTGAGGAGGAGATGAGAGTTTGTGGGTTGTCGTGGAGCCAGGTTCAAAAATTTTCAGATAACAGAGTGCACTGGAGACGTGCCACTGAATCCCTATTTTTCGTTAGGAACCTGAGGGAGAAATGATAATATTATTATAATTATCTTTGTGCAGATGATATACAACTGGATTTTAAAATTCACTACTCTCTACACTACTCTTTCAAACACATTCCCACCCTGCAACAGCTTCACAGATTTTAGTCGGATGATAGCAATCAGCAGGATGCCATCTGCATACATTTCGTATTTCTTAGCACTCTTCCTAGAGGCATATCTGCACGTGGACGGAACTGATTTATCCTATAATATTCGGACCCACATCACCCTTTGCTGCAGTCTGAGAAGTTATCACTGAACTATTCAGGCTGCTGCTTACTTTCGATAGGACTGAACTAGGGACATTTACTGATCACTGGAGGATAGCCAACCTCTTCTTGTCTACTATCAAATGCTGATCGAATTTAATCTAGCAAAGCCTTCGGCCAAGATGTCTACATAAGGGTCAATGAATGAAAAATGTAATCACCTAACATCCATTGGTCAGTTCACATGCACATCCCAATCTCAAAATCCACCACTTGTTATCCAAAAGGCTTAACTATAAGACTGAGGACTAATTGATCGCTTAGCACATTACACTTTAATTGTAGTCTATAGCAGATATGTTTCATTTGATGAGTGCAGTCAGAAACAATTTCGTATCACAAGACTTGAAGGGAGTCATATTTAAGAATGTGATGTAATCAACAAATTCATTTATTTTCGATTCTGGTAGTCAGCCGATAAGCGACCTTAAATTCATGTTTCGTGCTGGTCGAGGCTTATCAGCAAGGATTATCTGCAAAAATGAGGATTTAGGTGTTTAGCTGCCGACTTGAGCACGTGTCAATCAATACTGGAGCCATATAATTCACCATTAGGATTTCTGGGCTATGAAAGACCTCCAATTGGACAGAATTGTGTACACGAATTAGTTGCCAGTTGGTAACCCCCGTGGTTGTCCAGTCTTTAGAGCTTGATACGAACTGATCAATGTCTGACAATCAGATAACTGTTGTTGATAGGCTCCAAACAACTAAAAACCAGTTGACTCACAACAATACAGTTCACCAGTGTCGCTCTACTTAGCTTTGTGGCCGCACTTCCAACGTGATTGACAAACTTCAATCTGAGTACATACATATCACTCCGTATGCATTGAAAAGGACAGCATTCTCATCTTTTATATCCAAATTAACAACTACAATAGTTCACTTCATAGTTATTGTTAAATTCTCAGTGCTTTACTTCAGCAGACAATCCACTTACCCCAAGTGAATGATAATATTGATATGTTGCGATATTATCAAATAAACTTGCTGTGAAATTTTCATTTAATCTAGAATACGTAACTAGTACACGTACACACTGGAAAGTGGATCTGTCCTTTGAACATTTATTCTCACATTTAACAGATGATGATACTAACTTGGATTCTACATAAGTACAATTAGTAGGTAAAAATCCGGATTCATGTTGACATGGTAATATTACTAAATGAATTAATATACACTCAATAATAAAACTTGTTGTGATAATTGTAGCGCATGTTAAATAAATAGTTTTTATACAAGTTTCACGATATGTATGTTGCCTTGCTTTCCATACTGTATGATGATGATGACGATTGTAATTATGTGAATGAAAGCTAAGTCGTTGATGATGATGTATATAGTGTTGTGATGAATTTGAGTCTGATTATGAGGATATAAATCAGGAGCACGGCACTGTTTATGCTGTTGCTTTTGGTAGTGATGATTACATTGAGATGGATAAATCCCATCAGATTCTGCTACATCAACCTCATGGCTACTTTTATTGAAAACGTCATCGGTAAACTGATACCTGTAATGCTGCATTTTTGATAACAGTCATCGCACCGTTCATGAATGTATTATTCCCATCTCCTTTTATGCTATAGATTTAACCTTAATTTAAAGCACAAATATCTAATACATAAATCCAGTTTCACAGATCATTTCTCGAAGATAATATAGAACTTACAGACGAATCTGACCTTCAAGAAACTACCAACCAAAAGAAGTTTGAAAAATCAAATTCTGATTGGTCACTTAAATAATATCAAGTTTAACTTTCTAGCATCTTTATTAAAAATTCTTTTTCTTCACTTGATTCCTAATCAAATCAATTGTCTTCATTATCGTGTAGTTAATCTTAATGCAATTTTGGATCGAAAATCAGTTTTAGACAACATCCACCTCCAGATCTCAATGCATATCTTGAAAATAGTTTCTTCTCTGTAAACCCACAATCCGAATGTAGCAAATTTATAGATATTTTTTTGATTATACTTAGTAATTCTTAACGATTACATTTCCCTAGCTTAAAGTCTATAGGGATTCTACTTTTATGCAAGTATTCACCACGGACAACCTCTCCTGGTTAACCAGTTCACTAGTTACTAGCCGGTCCGGAGCCCGGGTAAACAGGGAAGGTTGGACATACGGCTAGCAACCCTATCCCATACAACCAATCAAAACGATAAACAAACTTCAAAGCACAAACAAAATATAAAAAATAAAAAGAATATTATTCCTCGTTGGAGTCGGAGAGGCGAAAGGACGTCGGTTAGTGAAAGCCTTCGGGAAGCTAATTGGCTGATGTATCTTCTCTCCCACAATGAAAGCGAAAGTAAACGTGGGGACATGGAATGTCCGCACAATGTTTGAACCCAACAAGGCTGCCCAGATTGCAAAGGAGATGAAGAGGTATCACACTGAAGTACTTGGAATTTGCGAAGGCAGATGGAATGGGAGTGTCTATCATGATATCTCCAAGAACATCAAAGGCTTTCATGCAGTGGGAACCAATCTCTTCAACGATCAGGATCACAGCGCCAAGATTCAACTCAAAAGGAAAAAAAGTCACAATCATACAATGCTAGCTATGCACCTACAAATAATGCAGAGCAAGAGAAGAAGAAGGAATTCTACAGACAACTGCAACCAACACTGGACAAAACCTCAGTTGGCGATATCAAAATTCCAATGGTTGGGTGACATGAATGCCAATGTGGGAGGGGACAACACAGGAAGACAACTAGTCACGGGTTGAGAAGCACTCGGTGACATGAACGAGAATGAAGAATTACTTGCAGAATTCTTCGCATCCAACGATTTAGTGATTGGAGGCACTATGTTCAAGCACAAGGATATCCACAGAGCGACATGGATTTCATCAGACACCAGCACACACTAAGAATCAGATAGACTCCATCTCAATGTGAAGAGAGTGGAGACGCAGCCTACTTGACACAAGATCAAGACGAGTAGCAGATATAGGCCCAAACCACCACCCAGTGCAACGAACCTCCCAAATCAAGTTGAAAGCCTTCAAGAAATCTGATGGTGATAGACCACAGTTCAAGTTCAACGCCAAGAAACTGAAAGACCAGACTACAAAGGAAATCTTCGCGGCAGCCATTAAGACAAAATGAGAGATATCGAGGAACATCCCTGAAGAAACCTGTGTGGATGAACACTGGAGCTCTCTGAAAGCGATATGAAAAGAAACCTGCATAACCGTATTAGGAAGGAAGAAGAAAGAAGATGAGGAATGGATCTCGACGGACACATGGAAGCTGAGAGAGCAGGGAGAGGAGGATGGTGAAGCAGAAGATGAATCAGTGCAAGGATGCACAACGACAAGAGGGACTGAGTACAGTGTATAAAACACTGGACAAAGAAGTGAAGAAGAGTGCGTGGAAAGACAAAAGACACTTCCACGACACACTTGCAAGTGAAGCAGAACAAGCTGCAGGTAGGAGAGACAGAGACCTGACAACATTGTATCAAATAACCAGGTTACTATCTGGGAGGGAAGAGATCAACTCAGATGAAACCAATAAAAGATGATGAAGGAAATTTAATTACCAAAACAGAGAAACAAAGAAAACGATGGGCTGACCACTTCAAAAAGCTCTGGAATCGATCACCACCTACACCCACAGAACTACAAGTGAACACAAGACCTCCGACGATAGTCGAAGTCCTGAGTGCCATAAAGCTAGTGAAGTGTGGGAAAGCAGCAGGACTGGTCCAGATGGAATCCCACCAGAAGCACTGAGAGCAGATGCAGAGACAACAGCGGACATGCTCACACAACACCACAATTGCAGAATGTCTCGAAGGAAGGGAAGGTACCTGACTGATTAGAAGAAGGGCTATCTTGTCAAACTCCCGAACAAGGGAGACCTCAGTGTTTGCAAGAACTGGCGTGGAATCACGCCCACTACTGTCCACCCCGAATAAAATATTAAGCCGCATCATCCTGGAGAGACTAAACTACCGAACAGGCTGGCTGGCTGGCTGGATTCACAAAGTACAAATCATGTGACGACCAAATTGTAACGCTGCACTACGCATCATCATAGAACAGAACGGAGTATAGAATGGCAGTCAACTCTACACCTCAACTTCATCGACTCTGAAAAGGCCTTTGACAGTGTCAACCGAGAAGTAATTTGGAAACTTCTTCAATACTACAGAATGCCGCAAACCCTTATCAATCTCATTCAACAACTATATGAAGACGCCACATGACAAGTAATTCACAGCACAATGGAAAGCTCGGTGATGCCTTTGAAATGAAGTGAAGACAGAGAGGAGTAAAACAAGGCTGCCACCTACTATCATCCATCACATTCCTGATAGTGGTCGACTGGATCATGCAACAAACAGTGGGGAGCTGTGTGAACAGTGGGATATGCTGGACCGAGGGAGAGAACCTAGAAGATCTGGATTTCGCCAATGACTTGTGTCTGATGTCACACAAACTTGATGATCTACAGGCGAGAACTAACAAGCTGATAGAGGAGGTAGGGCAGGGCAGGGCAGCGAAGACTGGACTTCAAGTGAATATAGAGAAGACAGAGATGATGAAGACACCGCACCTACAAATCCAACAACAACATTAAACTCCAATCACCATGAACAGTAGAAACGTAAAGGAAGTAGGCTGTTTCACCTATCTAGGCAGCACTGTTTCAACTACAGGCGGCACAGGCACAGACGAGGATGTCAAATCCAGTCAGAATCGGAGAAGCAAGACAGGCGTTTATCAGCCTGAAACCAGTGTGGAGATCTTCTATACTCAGAATAATGGTGAACAAGATGCGGATTTTCAACACCATTGTCAGTCAAGTCAGTGCTTCTATGTAGTGGTTCAGAGACTTGGTGCGTTACGAAAGGGATTCCCAACAAACTACAGACATTCATCAACAACTGCCTACGCTGGCTCGCTACTGAGGATTAGATGGCCAGAGTAATGAGAATAAGCAACAGGGAACTCTGACTGGCAACGAACGAACCAACCAAGAACCTATCACTCAAGAAATATGAGCAGAAGGAAGTGGAGATGGATTGGACTGGGCATACACTGCGAAGGCCGACTGGGGACATAACGCGTCATGTCAGGGTGTCGAGTTGAAGCCAGATGGGAAGCGACTAGTTGGACGTTTGTGGGTGACATGGAGGGGATGGTGTGAGGAGGAGATGAGAGTTTGTGGGTTGTCGTGGAGCCAGGTTCAAAAATTTGCGGATAACAGAGTGCACTGGAGACGTGCTACTGAAGCCTTATATTCCAACGGGATCTCAAGGAACTAATAATACTAATAATGAGTTCATCATTGTCTCTTGTCAGTTGGAGACAGCCAGTCCTCAATATATACAACCCCAAAAATGTAATTCTCGCGGAAATCAAACTACCTTTTTGGATATGGCCCATTAACCTCAACTGATATCCTAAAGTTCTATTGGTAAGCTGTCACCATTGGATTTTACTAGTCGGAAGTGAAGAGTATACCAAATGAATACCTTAATGGATAGTGTTGCTAGACCGCTTATTGACGGAAGTAGGAAATTATGAACGATTGTGCCCAGTAGACCCAGTAACTGAATGGTTATTCCACTCTTCGTGAAACCTGAAGGTACTGAATTCCATATCTGACGATCTTATGGATGCGCAATATGACAGTTTCATAATATGATGAAACAGCTGTCCAACATCCTTAGATCTTCTGCGGTTCTCCAGATGATGTCAGTCTATGATGAATATAACTTTATAAAGGAAAAAACGTTTTGTTCTAGATAGTATGTATTGTTTAACACTACTATTATTTAAATACTGACTATGAGAGATTTAGCATTTCTCTTTGCATTTTAGATGTGACAACCCACATTTTTATACATCTCTTGAAGCTCAGAAATCCTCCAATCAGACGCTTTTACTTTTCTTTTACAAATTTACTTCAAATATTCGTTCTTGAAAATGATATATGCAAATGAAGTGTTGATCACCCTAATGTTATTTCTTTTTAAAAGCATAACTTATCCACTTTTAGATGGCCATTTTCAAGATAAATGAATCTTAGAATCAACTCAATATCCAGAAGATATATGATAAAACAATTGTAGTTACAACTTTTTCTTCAATATTCTTAAGGATTTGTAGGACATTTGTTGTCATGAGATTATATCTAACGAGTGAACACTAAAAATGTTGACCGTTTGATGGTTAATTCATCGTGGAAGAATGCTGACCCATTTGTCAGGAACTGATGCATACGTTGTAATGATCATATAGTCTATGAGATTTATTTTATCAGTCTTTTGAGGCATTTACCACTTAACAGACAAAAGTTAAAATAGATAGAGAAGTTCACTGCTTCCTTATTTCAGTTGAAATCAGTTCACTGAGAAAATGATCTTGGCATGTAATCACAATTTAAAAACTATCAATTGGATTACACAATCCACTTCCAAAAACTTTTCTGAAATCCCTTATACTTCATGAGTTCATGATATCGTTTCTGAACTATGGGTTTTATTTTGCCACGAAA